AACCGTAAGTTTATATCTGGAATTTCACTACTTATGATCGAGTCTTGATCAGTACCAGTCTCCCAAGTTGAATATGTAGTGGTTATCCTACCTTTTTCCAATGTATCCATTTCCAGAAGCCTTTCTTGACTGCTTAGGACTCTCGTTATAAAGGAAATTAATACCTCCAGGATGACCAAGACCTTATCTTTAACAAGAGAGTTGATGACATTGCCAAACCTCAGACTCCAGAGCTGACCTAACTTTTACCATAGTTGAGCCCATGGATGAAGACGCATTGCTGGCCAATGCATCACATATGGGAGCCTAGTTGTGTACATTGTCAAGCTTGTCCTGCAATCGTCAAGGACTGGGCAGCCCCATAAGGTCTCACCAAAGCCTCAGGAAATCTCATTCTCAGAAGACACAGTACCAGCTATTTCCATATCAATACCGAAGAAACACAGTCTGATAGTAGCCCTGCAGCTTTCTTAACTATCTGTGCTGACACTACTGAGGGGAAAGATCCAAAGGTAAAATCTAAAACTCGGGACACCCTGATATATGTCATTTCAGATCCCTTTCACGTAGCTTTTTGCAAAATTCAACAACAAAGATTGCAAAAGACTCCACTATTAGACTTTTATGTCCAAAGCACACTCCTCCCCTGCTGGCTTCCTATAATTCATTTAGTGTATGAGTACAATGATTTCCTACTTCCCATTTCAACAGTTTTACTACTCCATATCCAAAGATGCTGCATCTGGATTCTTGAAGATTTCATTCTCTAGCTCCTTGAGGTACTCACTGGTTGAACAGATATGTTGTAGAAGTAACTTATATACACATGATTGTGTTGCTTTTCTACATTGAGATGCTTCTTGATTATGGTATGTACTGTTGACATGAGCAAATAGAAAGGTTTCTTATACTAACCTTTATGTTCATAGATTATCACCTGTTACAAAATGCTACACTTTTGTTACTATAGCTGGATTATGTCTTGTTGCAGTTCTCTTTCTGGGTGGTGTTGGGTCCTCAAATTTATCCATATTCCTTCGTATTCTAATGCCATTAAGTACAAGGAACATCCTCATTATGGAAATTATAAATACCTGATCTGAAAACATCTTTATAATCTGAGTGTTTCATATGTACCCTTGCTAAGAATGACCAGTTTTTGGTGGCATCACATTATCTACGAAATGCAAGTCAATGTTTGTTTGTTTAATCTCGGACAAAGCTACTCTAGGTTCATATGTGCTAGCCATTCCCAATTTTGAAGTGATAGATTAGAAGGAAGGCATCTAACCAACACCACTGACTGCCAACTGTTGGGTTACTCTTAACCAATGAATAGTGAGATTAACCATCACATTACAATACCCACATGGCTAAAAAGACGAGCATGTTTGATGACAGGATTCAAACTCGCGATTTCGAGTCATGCATCCTTAGAACCAGGTCACACCAGATTACCAAACAAGGTAAAAATGTAGTTAGGATACATCTTATCCAACCCAGACTTTATATCAATTGTGGTTTTCATGTGACTGACTGATATGCATATTCAAAACCATTTTCATATAACGAGCCTAGCCTTCTTTGTACATAAACTGCAACTAGAAAACAAAACGAAAGAACCTTATTACCTGAAACTTCAACAAAAATATAAAAAGGATACTTCTGAACACACACACACACAGTAAACTGCACACTTTCCAAGTAAATGAATGCTCTATATATATATATCAACTCATTTAATTGGAAGATATATATACACATAGAGTATGCAAAAAATTAATATTTTACATGCAAACAATACAGGTACAAAGAGAATGGAACCCCTTCAAAACACAATACTGTTACGAAACTTTAGCGACACAAGTCCTTACTTAATAAAACTGGTTTATTCTTTTCGAATATAACTTTACGATACACTTAATTTCAATATTCGCGCTAAATCAAACACTATAACGAACGAACGTGCTCAATAATACTCCCTGACTGCAGATCAATTACTT